GACGATTTCGATTCAAATTTTCTCAAATATTCGAAGTGAGTTGGACTGAAATTCGGTTGCGATTTTCTGTCAATTACTGATGTTTTTATGACTTTTGGCATTCTCTGTATTATCTCACTTTGCGCTGAATTTTTTTCGACTTTTTCTCTCAGATCAAGAGTTTGACTTGGAATTCTGTCAATTAATTTCAATGACTACTTATTGAATGACAATAAACTTTAATGTACATATTAGTGAGTTAAGTGAAGTGAAAGAAAAGAATACAAGATTTCAATTGTATTGAAATTGATGAGAATTTAAATTACGTTTACATTCAATTACTATTGGTTTACATTATTGCGTTTTTTGTTTCACAACTCTTTACATTCAGTGTTTGCAGAATGTTCACGAATTTTTGCATTGTTTCTATCTTTTGTTTCACTTTTTTTCAATGTTGATGATAATGATGAGAAATTCAGTAAATGATATTCAACTAAACCCATAATGCAACTCTTTCGTTTTCCTCCCAAACATTCAACTCTCATTTTCATCAAATTTCGTTTCATTTCATTTTATTGTACAATTTTACAAAATGTTATTCCAAGCAAGATAAACATCACCTTTGAAGAACCTTTTCACCAACAATTAATTTCCATTTCACATTCCAATCAAAACAAAAATAGTTCATCATTCTTACTCTCAATCGTTTTATTGCATTTAACACCATTTTATTTACCAAAAAAAAGACTGAATACCAACTGAAAAAGTGAATTATTATTTATATTGATTACTATTATCGTTGTCATTATATTCCATTCAATGTTCTCAGTCCAAACTCTTGAAATTTATGAAATTTTCCGCTTTTATGATACAAAGTCACAATATTGTAAAGTTTTTTAGAAATTATTATTCAGTAGAATGATTGAATTATCAGAACATAGAAAGATATTTTCTTCAATAGATGCGCTTTTTAGCTATTGATCTGAGGGTTGAATCTGATCGAACGAAAAAATTTTTGAAAGTAAAGTGATTAACATGACATATACCTAATATCTAGTAATGCTTTGACTTAGCTTGTTCTAGCTGAGACATTAACATTTATTGACTTGATTTGGACCAAAACATGAATTACTGATAGATTAAAATAATGGCCATTCACTGAATTTCAACTGTGCACAGATCATTCTTGGTGTTGCTTTCCATATTATATCTGCCTTCGTCAACGAATAATAAAGCTATTAGTTGTAATGATTTTACTCTGTCACCAACTTTAATCCGAATATCCATGTCATATTAGCTTTGTGTTTACAGCTTAAAGACAATTGTCAATCAACTTTCCATACTTTCTTCTAATCACATCTCATTATCAATGTTTTACTCCCAGAAAATTATGGATTGAATATCGACATGAGCCCAAGGATAATCTAAGTTAAACAAGTTATCTTAGTCTTGTAGACAAAATAAATTGGCTCACTTCAAAGGTTCAGCAATCTTGAACATTCAATCGAATAGACATTGATCGAGAAAGTCTACAGTGTAGATCCAAAAGGACAAGCCACTGATCATGAAAATCAGTTTGAAAAGTTAATCCTTTTAAGCGCCATGAGACAGTTGATTAAAAGAAGAAGGCATGAAAAAGAACAAGAATAATGTTAGGAACCACTTTTGTCAGTCAACAAGTAATCAACAAAATTGTTACATCGGCAAATGGTCCAAATACAAATCTCGAAATTAAGAGATTAATCTTCGATGCTAAAGAATAAAACATTTTATCAAACTTGCTGAACATACGCATTATATTCGTCTAAGTATTCTCAATCTTATCAAGCTTTGTATTCCAACTTTCGTTTTGCTGGGTAAACTCTCAAGTATTTCAAACTTATTTTAATTTATCAAATTGTGCAACTTGAATTTGAATCGTTGAATCATTTTTTTCATTTTTCCATTTTCTTTTCATGTTTTTATGATGAAAATTCTGATCGCATTCTCGACATTTTATGGTTAAGAGGAAAAATTCTGTTCTTTTCATGACTTTCATTTTGTCAGCTTGAAAAACTCTTGATTAAATGACATTTACGCTGATTTCATATTATTATCACATTAAAATATGGTTAAGAGATAAAGAAGGAAAAGAGATTGAATTTCGTTATTGCGTACAATTTTATCAAGAGCCGACCTTAGCTCGAATCTCATTATGATCCTATTTTTGTACAACTTTACTTGATAATAAAGCAAACATACAGACGATTTAATCCAAGTAACATTAAGATTAAGATCTTTTTTTTCTTGTCCTTCCTTTCGCTTGGCAACCTTCTCGACATTTGCAACATTTTTATCCAATCTGTGTTTGCTTTGTAATCTTCATTATCGTAGATTTATTTTGAAGAAGCAAATTTAGTTGAAATGAAAAATGGATTCATCCGTTAATCTCTACTTTTTTAGCCTGAGTTAACGAGCCCAGAATGAAGATAACAAGTTCTTAGTTGGAATTTTGCTCTTCACAGAACTGAACCTCTCAAGAATAACAACTTGTTAACTTCATACATCGTCTGTGCATGTTATTAAAAGGGTTAACTATAAATAATGTGATTATCGATAAGCATTGGTGCAGTCAAATGGATTAAAATAAACAGAAGAAAACTCATCATTCATTGTCTTCACAATTTCACTCTGAAACAGATAAATCTCATTGAAAAAATAATACATTGTAGCTGAAAAACCGAGTTCTAACGCACTTCTTGAATTCGCATAAAGTCGACTAAAATGTTACTGAAATGCAAACTCTTAAACTCTATGCCAATGCGATTACCATTGAACTTTTCACTTCAATATAACCAAATGCTGATCAATTACAGTTCATAAAAATTCTTAAAACGAAAAATTCCAAATCTCTCAAAACTGTGAAGAGACTAATATCAACAAGTCCAGTATAAAAGTAACCTTTGGCACAATTTGGACTTGACTTTTTCATCCAAATAAAGTAACAATTTAACTTTTAATATTGAGATTCTTGTGAAATGGAAATGAACCCACTCAGATAAATCATGACTTTCAATATATTAGAGTTACTCATTCATCATAATAGTAAAAATAGATTTATCTGGAAAAGGTTCATCCTGACAGGTTATTTAGGTTGAAAAGTTGAAAAAACGGATTAAACCTGATAAACTAATAATACAATTTATATTCAAATTAATGGATGATTAACTGAACAATATAAAGATAAAAATGAACTCATCAATGATGGTTGATGGAGAAGGAAAGGAAAGAATGAAACTTTGATTTACAGTCGAGGATAAAGGTAAAGGAATGAGAGACGAAATTGAAAAGTGACGAGAAAAAATGAAAGGTTGAACAAAAAGTTACTAAAAATGAGTGAATCTGATTACTTATTTATTAAGCTGAGTGAAATGAGTAAAGAGAGGAACAAAAAAGAAAATCTTTTTCCATCTCATCAATTTCATGCGATAACATTGAATCATTGTTGCAGTCCATGCAGTGCCAGTAGTTACTAGACAGTATCATTTTGACACTTTATTGTTGAACAATGGATGACACTATCCAATGATGGATTCAATGTCCAGAATAGAGTTGTGTGAAGAGAAGGGTTTTAATGAAAAAAAAGTGAAAAGCAATTTGAGGTGAAAGAGGAAAGAGAATGAAAAATGAGGATAAAATGATGGATCAAAGTTGATGCTGGACTGCATTTGTTAAGTAAACGTTAATTGAACCCAATTGAACTTGATGAACTCGAGTAAAAGTTTCCAAATTTATTAGATTAAATTGGAAAATCCATAAATTTTAATCATATCTGACCATGAATAAGTAATTCAATTGAATCTTGTAATGAGATGAGAGGAAAAGGTTCAGCTTAAAGTGGTTCGACTTAATCAACCGTTGAATTGCATTTGCCATTTCAATTAAAGAAAGGCAAATTCGTTGCTAAAGAAAGAAAAGTGAATAGAAAAAAATATTCATTTTCCATCTCAACTGAACTTCCAATGATTCAATGATAATGGATGTTATCTGATGGTGAGAAGAGAAAAGGTGCAAAAAAAGTTCTACTCAAGTTATTAATTTTTCATTTGCCTTGAGGTAGAAAGACATTCATGAGCATGAGACTGGAAACTCAATTGGAAACAATAAAAGTGGCTCGAAATTGCAACTGCACTGGGAGTTTATCGGATGATAAACTTCTCTCAGTTTGTTTTCAGTTCTACTGAAGCACTAAAGCAATTAAAAAATTTCAATTAATTTTATGCTTCTTTCTCATCTTTATATTCAATTATAGTTTGCTGGAAAATTATGGAACAGAAAAAATTATTGAATTGAGTTTGCAACTTTTTTCCAGCTTCATGTTGTTCAATTGATCTGTTCAATTTCTTTATCAGTTCAGCACACTCGTTGGTTTAAGCCTTGAATCCGTTCAATATGAAAATTGACTTTTTTATTTGCAACTTTTTTTTCATCAAAAAACCAAATTTTAATTGAACTTTTTATACTGAACTGGGATTTCAGGGAAAAGAAGCTTGAGATAGTAAAAAAAGAATTTTATTCTTGGAATATTGATAACTTTTCTGCTTCTTTCAGTCTACGCCAAGTCTAACCATTCTTTGTCAACCAAAGGTTTTTAATTTATTTTAATCACAAAATCAATGGTTACTGTTGAAAGAGTTAATACAATAATGTTCACAAAATTTCGTGCAAATTTTGAAAATGAATAAAGCTATCAATAGAAAAGGAATGAAAAATGTTTCAAAAGCTAATTTGTCAACATTGAAGATTTTTCATCAATTTTTCAACGTCAGTAGCAAATAATACTTTATGACCAAGAAATTTTGAATTTCAGGCAATCTCGGAAAATGAACAGCATTTCAGCCATCAGCTGGAGTAATTTCGTTTCAATTTTTCAGACAAACTAACTGTTGCATCAACTTTTGATGGCGAAATGTTTGAAAATGAATAGAGAATATCATTTGATTAAAATTGCATTTATACTAATATTTTTTTCTTTCTATCAGCTTGACAGCACTTCTTCTTAAATTTCGAATTCCTTTCTCAAATGTAACTGTCCTTCCCGATGTTGACGGGCCTCCATTGGACTCAAGGTGAGTTTACATAACAACGTTTTCAAAATTTCCAAAAAAAGAGTTTCACAGAGAAAATTCAAGCTTTACTCTTAAAATAGATAACTCTCACTCTTGTTATGGAATCTGAAGCAATTTATGATTTCGGATATAAGTGGTATTAAGTCGAAATCGCAGCATCTCAAAGCGTTACAGAAAGTCCTAAAGTTCCTAAAGTCAACTGAAGGATTTTGGAATTCGACTCTAAATTGACAGTTAGTTGAAAATCAAAAGCGATCAGCAACAGAATTGCAAATGTTCAGAAAATCTTCATTTTCGTTCAAAATTTTACTGATGAATAATTTGAAAGACAGATATTAAAGTGACAGTAAATGTTGGCGATTCATTTCACCTGACATTGATTTGCATTTCTTCATCTTAACCTTGAGTCAAGTAAAAGAACAAAAGGTCGAATCAAAGGAAAGGTAAAAAGATTTAGTTGAAACCAATTAATTCTAGAAAAAAACCTTTTCCTCATTTTCACTCTTATTCAGCCTCCTGATTGTTGAAATTACTTTATAGTAGATATTCATATAAATATAAATTTTACCACAAAACAAGAGTAAACAATAAAATAAAAGTCTAAATACAATCTTAAACAATGTTATAAATTTTGTTGGTTTTTACTCAATAGAAGAGTTAAAAAGAAGCAAAAAAGTTACTTTTTTTCTGTTCGCTGGAAAAGCACTAAAAGCTAAGGAAAAGCCATTATATTTGATTGTGAATGAGTAGAAACGAAAGTAAAAACTTTCTTGTTCATTCCTTGCTTCTTCCCTTTTCCGATCTACAGTTATTTATTATCTCTCTGCGGTTTTGTTTCTGCATTTTTATAATTTGCTTTTCTTCTCGATTTTATTCTTATTCTTATTACTATTATTTTCATCATCACCATCATTATCATTTGTGGTCCTTGAATTATCTTCATGTTCTTACCTAAACCCAAAAAATGAACTCTACAAACTACACTAAACCAAAACAAAAAAGTAAAATGCAATTCCGTAATCTGATTGAAGATTGGATGGAAACTGAAAACGATGAAAATGGTAATCAAAGTAAACCTTCAATGAAAATAACCAAAGAAGAATTGAATACTTTAAAGGATTTGGTGAGAAGCAAAACTTTTTCATGATAATAACCATAATTTTCCAACCTCATTTTCCCTCTTTTCTGTCTATAAACTTTTCTCAACTTTTTCATCCCTCACTTCATGAGATTCAACTTGAACTTCTCGAGCTTTTCTTGTGAATCTCATTCACTTGTCTCTGTCTTTACCTCGACTCCATCATAATCATAAATCTTGACTCTCAATTTGCAATACTTTACCTTGCTCATTTAACTTACCTGTTTTCATCTTGAATCCTTAATATTCTTTAATTTATCTTTTCTCTATTTTTTTTCTTTCTCTCGACGCTTCTCTGAACTCGATTCTCATCACCACTTTACAGACTAATAGGCATATTCGGTTGAGAGAATTGCTTCTTGAGTACTCCCAGGATGCCTCCATGATATTTATGTAAGTATTCAGTTTATATCTCAACCCTTGCCTGTCTTTTACTCTTTGATCGTTATCTTTATCGTCAACATCTTTTATTCGCTTTTGTCTTTGTTGCCCTGTAATTTGTCGCTCTTCTAGTCAATTCCCTTTTCTAGTTTTTACCATGAAAAATGGCATACCATTTCATTGAGTCAGGTTCAATCAATTAGACTCTTTATCAACTAAAACTCAGAAGCTGGATAATAATGATAATAATAAATATCTTAATAGAGGCTGACGAATGATGGAGTTGAAAGAAAATGTAATGAAAGAGAAAATATTTACCTAGTCAATATCATTTTCCTCTTTTTTCTTCATCTTCTCAGCCTACTCTGATGCTCATTTTTATTTTCAGTCTTCCTTTTTGCTCTTTCATTTGATCATCGAAAAAAAGACAAAATAGTTTTTTCTCTTCAAACATTGATTCCATTAATAAAATAGCATTGAAACTGCGCTCTATCAAACCAATCAAAGTCAAGTTATGGCAATGACAAACGTACAGCTACTGAATATTGGATCAATAAAAATGTTTCTCAAACGATCATTAGCTTTTATCATTTCACAGTTTATCCATGAATAGATTTTCCTTTGCTTCAGTTTACTTATTTTTTGTTTTACTTTTTTTCCAGGACTTTACCCATACCTAGGCGGGACTGCACTTCAGCACCCTTGTACATGGCTTGGTTGGAAATGTTGACGCAAAATATGCCGCCATTCATCTTGATTCGTGGCAATCAAACTAGCGTTTTAACCTTTTATTGTTAGAAGTTGCCTTTTTGCCTTCTACATTTTAAACTTCATGAAACTTCTCCATCTCATCTGCGTTTTTTAAACCAATCGCAAAATTCAATCCAGGACATCACTTTTTAACTTTTCACTCAAAACTTATTGTTTTACTTTTTTGTCTTTTCTTATTTGGCCAACATTTTCCATCCATTTGCGCCTTTTCACAATTCTTGCTCATTTGAAGTCCCTGATAATGTCGCTAAAATTGACCTTGACTGGCTTTGGATTGTCTTAGTTCAAATGTATTATGGATCAAGGAAAATACTTGAAACGAAACATATTCAATTCGCATATCTCACTTTATTGCTGTTCCTAAAGTATAAATCGCTATCAATAAAATGAAGAGTGTAATTGTGAAAACAGAGCATAAAACAAGAAACAATATTTTGTAAAATCCTTTTTAAACATTTCATTATTTATCAATTTTCATGTTTCAAGCTTCCTTTGATTGACTTCCAATAAAAAGCAAGCAATATTCAAGCAAATGTATAAGTTCTCACTATTTTCGGTAACCTAAACTCACCTAATTTCTTGATAAGAATGAGATATTTGTCATTCATTTTATTGACTCTCAAATGGTATCCTAAGTATGGAGTGGGATACAGCGTGCCATCTGTGGAAAGATAGTGAAAGGTTAGCCAAATGGAGAGCTATCTCTTTACTCTTTACCTTGTAAAGTTATTCTAAATCTTCTCTAAACGGCCATCTTCGAGTTTAAAATCATTTCTTATGTTTTACAATTGCAGTCCTATGTGTTTGAAATTGAATAGATTGATGACTGAAGAAATTTACATACACTAAAGCAGTTTTACACACTTGAGTGTACAGTGACCATTGAGATAATGCACCGCTCTGGGAATAGCTTATTTTCACTATTCTTCGGGCAGCGTAATTCATGATTTTCAATTTTCCTTATTAGATCAAAAACCTTAAATTTTGCTTTAATCTGATTTTGCGAGTTTTTGGATTAAAATTTCACGAAAGAAAGTTGAATTAAGTCAATTGATAATTAAAGAAATCGAATCAAAATTTGACGAAATTCAAAAGACGATATAACTCCTCAATATTAACACTAATTCTAGCATTATACAGTATATTAAATATCGAGATGTCTCAAAGCACGAAAACTCATGAAAATGTAAGCATGAAAATAAACTTGCGATGTTAATGCGATATTGCGTGAACTAGTTCCTTTCGATTTGTAGATCAAGATTTCAACTTTATTTTTTAACGAAAATTCGATATTTTCTGTTATACTTCATTTCTTCTCCAATAGATGTCATGTTATTGACTACTAAACAACTCTTCAGACTCAAAAGCAGTAGCTCAAGTTTTATTGTACTTCAAGTGGAGAGTAAAGGTTTTTATTTTCACTATTATTGAAAGGGAAAGTTTGCAGCAATAAAATGTGTTTTAATTAAACTCACAAAATTTCTTGGTAAACTAAATTATTATCCATTCCAATAAGAGTGTAAAATATTTTAGACTTAACCAGCATTATTGAAACACTAGCGAACACAAACAAGTGAAAATTTTCGCTCTTCTATGGATTCAATCGGTGAGTTGCCGTCCCTTTATGAATGGCTAACCAAGCGGACCAATGAATATGAATGAAACAAAAGAAGAGATATTGAATCACCGTTTTCTTCTTTACTTTCTTCATAGGATTTCATTGGTTGTTGTTGAAAAAACTCATAATAATTGTTGATTCTCTTTGCACTCCCGTTTTCCTCACCTGGGGCTATTTCAATGTCTCCCTTGGGTTGACAAGAAATTATCAACTTCCGTTGAGTCTCTTCTTGTAATAATAGTATGTATCTTTGTGTGCTGTTATTAGCATTAATAGAGGCAAAGAATAGACCTGTTTAACCATCAAACCAACCGTGGTTGCTGCTTCAATTGTATTACACATCTAAACACACAAAGAACAAGCAAAAAAGTCTTCAGAAGTTGAACAAGAAAATGATCAACATCATCAACGAGTCGTAGGATGATGAAGAGAGGAAAATGCTTGTAAGTTTCCGCTTAAAATTAAGAGGTACTTTGGAAAGAAGCAAATTTTCAATTTCTTTTCATCATTAACCTTTATTCAGTGAAAGCAACGAGATTTGGGACAAGTGATGATAATGATAATAAATAGAGGGATAGACAGAGAGCAAGATTAAAAGTTAATATAAAGAAGCAAAAAAGTCAATCAATGAACCTTGTTGAGCCTATTATTTGAATGTAAAATTTGGTTAATTTTTTAAATTGCCAGAGGTTAAAGAGAGGGAAAACAAGACTGAAAACTGGTAGCAACATTTTCTTGCTGTTACTGTAACATTATTATTATACAAAATTGTATTTATTTATCTGTTCATCTTCTTTACCCGATTACTTGAAGTTCAATTTATGTTCTGTTAAGCTGAATAAATATTGACACAAGAGGAAAGAAGAGAGAGAGAGAGAGAGAGAGAAAAGATGAAGATACAAAAAAAATGAAAACGCAACAAGCACTCTCTTCATCTTAGCAGGGTGACAGTAAAGGGAAACCTTGAAGAAAGGTATAAAGATGAAGAGGGAAGAACAAGTAAAAGATGCAAAAAAAGTAACACACATTGAAATTTACACAGCATTTACATTTGAAAGCAAATGTTTACATGGAATGAAAATTGTTACATATTGATCAAGACGGGGCAACAGCAGCATTACGGGTTGGCTTGGCATACTTGCTGAGACTTGGTCAATGACTGTGTTAGTGAGGCAAGCAAGCTTAAAAACAACAGAAACGAGAGAAAATTGGAAAGTTATTTTTTCGTTTCCAATCCATGTTTCAACTTTGTTTCTCTCTCAACCTTGTTACAGACGGAAATTGTTGAACCATTACTCAATCAATGTTGGCCCTTCAAATGACCAACCTGTAGGTCTGTTGCATTTTTGCATGTTAATAGCTTTTCATTTGTTGCCTAATAAATTGATAAAAATGTATTTTTGTTTTGCCTCTGTTGGCCTAATATCAGGCCACTTAGACATTGGCTACTCTTGTGCGTGTCAACTTGAAATGATAATTATTATTCAGACTTTTCATCTTCTTCGTTAATCATATTTTTGCTTTTGCTTATTAAAGTTGCTCACGCAAATATTAATACAACTTTCATTATCTTCATCATCTTCTTGTCTTTGTTATCATCATTAGTTTACTGCTGATCAACTTTTCAAAAGTAAAACAACTTTTTTCTTCAACTTTTGTTTTTCTTTCTGTCTTCTTGCCTTGCCGGTGTTTGACACAGGAAAGAGCCTTATTTTGACGGTCATTTCCGTCCATTTCTTGATCCATTTGAAAAGATAATTAAAGTTACATTTGATTGCCTTAGGTGAGTTATTGGAAGCTCAATCAATTCATTGCGATTCAACTTTTGTACTTGATTAATTATGAGGAAGAAGTCGAGATTAATTGAAGAATTGCTTGGCCCAATTAACTTGTTTTGTTTTTCACTTTTTTGTATTTTCTGTTAATTCACTCTTCTCGATAATCAATCAATTGATATACTTTCCAAGGTTCCAATGTTTCCATATAATTCATGAAATGAGAAAAATTTAAATCTCAATAATCGATCGATGTAATGAGCTGATAATTTGAGATAATCAAAAACACTTTTCCGAATAAAAAGCGTTTATTTTTCATCAAAATGCAGATTTACAGTGAAAAAAGATTAAATTAAATCATCAAATCTCAACATTAAACGATCTTGAACAATTAAATCTCGTTATTAATGTCATTCTTTGGTTACCTTCAACTTAATTGATCAGCTAATGATTGACAAATGATATTGATTGATTTTAATCTGAACAAAATCAATTTACATTAACTCAAGATTTCAATTGTAATTCAACAATATTTCAATAAAAATTAATTTGAATAAGAATGAAAAGCAAAATTCGTCGGGTGTGGTTTTCATTCACTTGTCGACCTTACCTTTCAAGCGATTATCTTAACATTCAATTTCAAGGTATTCAATAACCAATCAATATTGAATCCAATAATAAACGAGTGTTAAAGCAAGTAAGGAATGAAAAAAAGTAAAGAAAAGTGAAGAAGCGAAAATTGAACAAAAGATGAAAAATGAAATGAAAACAGTCGACACAATTAAAGTTTGATCAATAAAATAAACAAATAAATTGGTTACAATTTTCATTGATTTATGAGAGGCAAACATTTTCAGGTAAATTAACAGGAAATGTAAACAGGAAACTGACCATCAAAAAGTATAATAATGTTGATTTGCTGTCTTCAGGGGAAACTGTTGACTGCTGTAAGGCATCGATAGTTGAATGGATCGATGAAGGCTAAAGTTGCGCTCATTTTTAACCTCAAAACTGAAACAATATCACAAGTGAAAAGGTTGACTATTAATAGTGAATAATCACACTTCGTGACTCTTTATTCCGGTTTCCATTCAGCTTTTCTCGATATTGATATAAAATCGTTTTGTTATCGCCTCATCATGAGTCGCAAAAGTGAACTCATTTTCTGTCTCGAACATGATTAAAGCAGAGAAAATGTTTAAACATTATCTTGTTCAATTATCGAAAAGAGAAGAAGAAGAAGAAAAAAAACTGATTATCTTGAGCAGTTTTCAAACACTTATCCATTTCCAGAATCGTTCAGAATCACTTTACAAGATAAGCAAGGAAATGCGAAAAAAAAGAGTTGATCAGAAAAAAAATTTCAGTTTATCAACACTTTTTTTTTCTCTTCTCAACTTTCTTCAGAATAAATGATTGCAAGGTTTATCTTGAATGGTTGAATATCGTTCAACAGTGCAACTGATGTTTAACCATTAATCGATTAATCAGCAACTTCATGATGTTTTGGTGTAAAAATGATGATAACAATTTTCAAATTATTTTCTTTTCTTTCAACTTTTAACTTGATTTCACTTTTCATCATTCACTTGAATTGAATCAAGATTTAATCATTCATCGTGTAAAGAAGTGAGAAAATATCGAATCATGAAAAATGCCTTTCTGGCCTTTCTCTCAATGCGAACAATGATTATAATTTAAATGTTCATTTTGAGTTCAGCTGCTTTCCAGTAAATTTGTATTTATTTATATTCTTTGTTTCATTCATTCCAATATTTACCTGAATTGAGCTTATTAAACAGTTTAATGGGAATCAATAATTGACTCAATTGTTAACAATAATAATTGAGTTTCACTTCTCATCATTTGCTATTATATTGCAGCTCAGTTGGAGAGTTGCGAAGTTATTAAAGCGATGTTTTTTTTTCTTCTTCCATCTCACTGCCGCAAGGCTTTTCGTACCTTTTTGAATGGTCATTTTAACTGTTGTAAAAGGTAATTTTGAAGGTGAAAAAGAGGGAAACGAATGTTTGCCGTTTCTTTTATTGTGTTTTCAATTTTTCCTTTTTTCTTCTTCTCTTCCTTTCATTTTCTTTCTCTCTGTGAAACTATTGATTGATGTCTTAAGTTGAACAGTTTA